TTAGAAATCTGATGAAAAGCTTATACTCATTTCACACTTTTTGAAGTCTAATAACAAGGAAATGAAGCTATTGGATCCATTATACCTAGAGATTATTGACTATTACATTATCAATGATTCTTGTTTGGCTCCTATGTAAGTAATTTTTTGTTTGATTACATTGATTTTCTCTTATTTTTTTTTATTTATGAAACACCTTTTTAATTCTTATTTTATACTCTTTGACTCAGTGAACTGTTGGTATTTTTTCACGAAAAGCATTTGATTCAAAGGCAAGAATTCTACACATTAGGAGAGCCTTCTGAAATCATGAGCAGTAGTATTTTGTATAGCTGGGCATTGCTTCTCGATGAAAATCAGAAATATTTGAAGGATGGACCTCGGAAATTTTACTTTGGTTCTTCAATTAGTGTGAGTTGTTTAATTATTACAATGTTTATACATGTTTATACTTTTTACTTTTTTTTTATTTGTTTAAATATTATAAATGTTACAATAGTAGAAGCTGCCGGCAGTGATGGCAATTCACAACTAATGGACAATGTTTATCAAGGTTTGGAGGAGTGGATGAAAATAACTTGCAATGATTTTGATTTGTCAGAAGTGGAGCTAGTAATACTTTTGGTTTTTTTATGCTTTGAAAAATATAGTTCCCTTTTTTTATGTTATAGATACCTTTTTTTAAACGAGAGTGACTATTGAAAATTGCATAAGTAAATTTGTAAAAGAGGTCACTCTAATATCAAAAATGGAATCTATATGTGTTTTTTTTTATTCTGACTAATGTTGGTATTATTGTTAAAGATATTTTTACCTTGTCTTTGGGGAAATCACTATTGCTTATTTGTGGTGAATTTGACTAAAGGAAAAATTCAGTTTATTGATAATCTGAATTATGATGAGGATAATCGTATCTTCTTGAAAAGTTGTCTAGTCTCCTGGTATTACTTTCTCACTCTTCCATATTTTCACAATTAAGTTTATTGTTTATTGTTTGTATTGATTGGTTAATAGTGAGAGCCACATATTCTCACTGTTTTCTTGTCTGGTGTTTCGGAGTTTATTCCGAGCATTTTTGTTTTTATTTGTTGCTGATCTTGTAGAATTTTACAGCTTTTAGAATTTTGTTACACATTGATGAGTAGAAAAAACTTGCAACAAGAAACCAACTTTTTAAAAATGTTTAAATCACTTTTTATCATCTTGTTGAGACCCTTTCTTTTTGCTATCGCATTGCTTCTGTGGATGTTGTGATGCTTCATGTTGTGATAGCAGGAGTATTGCTATCATCTGATCTGTTATTAGGATTTAATCTCTCTTGATCTTGATCTACATTTTGTGTGGTCTGAACTTTGTTAGGCCACATTGTAGCTGATAGTGAACATAAAGTTGCAGCATGGTTGTTATAATGACTCTTAATAGATCGTTTAATGCTACTGTGATCTGATTATATGCTTTTTTGCTAGTATGATATGATCAGTACCTTCTTTAATCAAAGGCTTACTCAATCTGGAGCTATGGTTGACTACGCTTTGGAGTTTCCTACTTTGAATTATAGATCTAGCAAAGATAATTCAGATTCTGGTGTTTATATTATAATGAGCATGCATTTATTCAATGGAGCTGATGAGTTTAAATGTGAAATTTGAAAAACAGTTATGATTCTTTCCCTTTTAAATTATTTGTTTTATTTCTTTTAATTAATATCACAATATCTTATATTGATTACTTACTTTTTTAGGCTTCAAATAGAAAGATTTTCCGGATTCAAATTGCTGCATCTTTGGTGTTATCTGATATGAATGAAGTTAGATCAATTATAATTGATAAGGTGGCTGAATTCAAACCTGATAGGCAGCGTCTTTCAAAAGAGGTTGAAGAAAGAAGGAAGAAAGAAATTAAAGAGAGGAAGAATAAGAAGAAGCCGACTGAAGACAAGAAGAAGAAAGGAAAAGGGAAGGCTTCAGATGTCAGAACATTGTGTAACTAATTTTTTTACTTAGTTGTGATTATAATTTTTTGATGCTAAGCAAAGTACTTTGAACATTGTATAGCTAATTAGTATTAATTTAACTTTTGGGTAGGTTATTGAAGATTGGAAAAATATTCATTTTGTGTAAACAAGCATTTGGAAACATTTTATAAACATGGTATATTGTTTGTTTAATTCAATTATTAATGTTCTCTGTTATTAAAATAAAAAGGTTGCTAAAAAAAAAAGGTCTCTATATAACATACGGGTTACTATGTTAATGTGAAAGGTTATTTTAAACTTATCTTTATAAAGGTCTTTATGTGATAGTAAAGGTGACTATGTTAATATTAGAGGTTAAATATATATTGAAAAGGTTTACGATGAAACGTCACTATATTATCATAGGTCACTATATGTTAAAATAAAGTCACTATACTATTTATAAGGTCTTTGTTTGGTGAAAAAAGGTCACTTCGTTTTCAATATTGTATAGTGTCAAAATTAAGAACTATGTTAAATTAATGGTAATTATCATAGGTCACTATATGTTAAAATAAAGTCACTATTTAATTAATAAGGTTACTACTCTAAATATAAAGGTAACTAGGTCAAAATTAAGGACTATATGTTAATTAATGGTGAAAAACTAACAATGCAATGGTATTAAATAAAGATTACTATTTAGGAATAAAGATCACTATATTGTAAAAAAGAGGAGGTTACTATTCCAAAAATTATATATCTCAAAATTAAAGGTTACTATGTTAATCATAAAAGACACTATATCATAATAATCAGTATTTAAAAGATATATATAAAGTTTCCAAAAATGAAATTACAAATAAAACGTACACTAGACGAAAAACCCCAATCCCCACCGGTTCAAACCCCCCATTCCCCACCGGTTTTGAACCGTTCTTGATTTGGGGGTGGCAAACCGTCAAAGATAAGCCACCGGTTTAAAACCGGTGGCAAAAAGTACTTTCCCCACCGGTTTTGAAGTGAACCGGTGGCAAAAGCTGCTGATTTGGGTTTAAGCTAAGCACTTTTGCCACCGGTTTTCAATTGAACCGCTGGCTAAACTTAACCATTCCCCACCGGTTTTCACAGTGAACCGGTGGCAAAAGTAAGCGCGCCAGTTTTTAGTTAATTTTGGGCACCGGTTCATTGAAAAAACCGGTGGCAAAACCTGTTTTTTTTTTAAAATTTTTTTTTTATAATTAAAAATAATTAAAAACCTGCACATCCTGTATTAAATCTGCCATTAAAATATATTATAATAACAGTAATAATACCCCAAATTATTACCCGTATTATTATTATTATTATTAAATATACTAATAATATAATAATTATTACATTGGAATAATAACAACAATACATAAATATTAATTAATAACCGTAAATGCGATACAATGAAATGTCATATAGCTTTTACAACTCATTAATTAAAAGGTGTTATATTTACAAACTATACTAATAATTAATGTACAAGTTAACAAGTTCAAATTAAATTATATGTAATGAAAGACGCTAACATATCTCGAACTTCATTCAGATCTTTGCTCGTCAATGGACCTCCTTTCTGTACCTTGCAAAACTTGGTTAAACAAAAATGATGTTAGCTAGAATTAATTACTTAGGTTATGTATGTAAAAATACATTTACAATTTAAGTTAGGCAAAAATTTAATACATAGGCCTATATGACTACTACTTCACCTATTTTCTACATTTATAATCAAATTAGATCATTCTTCCTCATAACATGTCAATATTACCTAGTTAGAGGCAGCTAAAGCTTGAAATCACATTAAAAGAACAAGTCAAGTATTTTAAGACGCATTTTCAACCAAAAGGGCCCGAATAAGGCCTATATCACTACATGTATGCCTATTTTCTATGTTTTTGATCAAAATAGCTCGTTATTCCTCTTAACATGTCATTTTTATCTAGTTAGAGGCATCTAAGGCTTGAAATCACATTAAAAGAGCATTTGAATGGTTTTGGGACGCAATTTCATTCAAAATGGCCGAAATAAGGCCTATATCACTACATGTATGCCTATTTTCTATATTTTTGATCAAAATGGCTCATTCTTCCTCTTAACATGTTATTTTTACTTAGTTAGAGGCACCTAAGGCTTGAAATCACATTAAAAGAGCATTTGAATGGTTTTGGGACGCAATTTCATTCAAAATGGCCGAAATAAGGCCTATATCACTACATGTATGCCTATTTTCTATATTTTTTTATCAAAATGGCTCATTCTTCCTCTTAACATGTCATTTTTACCTAGTTAGAGGCACCTAAGGCTTGAAATCACATTAAAAGAGCATTTGAATGGTTTTGGGACCCAATTTCATTCAAAATGGCCGAAATAAGGCCTATATCACTACTTGTATGCCTATTTTCTATATTTTTGATCAAAATAGCTCATTCTTCCTCTTAACAATACAGGTTACTATGACAAAATTTGGTGTTCTTAAGACAAAATTTGATGTCTTTAGACTATCAGAGCATATACTTATTATTAATATTTGGTGTTTTGCCACCAAATTCTCTATGCTTCCTCCTCTTCCCCTTTTTTATGTAGTCATAGCTTCCTGGAATCCTTTTATTTGATTATCCTCCTTTAGTTTTTGCACAAGCTGGGTCTAGTACTTGAACAACACTAGATGAAGTTGCTTTTGAATTCTCTTCTACACCTGTAGTGTTCTCAGAATGGTTGTTAGTTGAGTTCATACCAGAAATAATTTCATCTATTGCACTTGAATCTTTTGCGAAGCTTTCTTCTAAGAATTTCCTTGCTTGTTCAAACTTGTGGCTCTTAAGGATTAAACTATAATACTTCCTCACCATGTGTAGCCGCCAGGGTGTGAAGTTGTCCCCTTCTTCTTTTGCTCTGCCTCCTTACTTTTCCAAACTTCAACCTTAGCCATTTTAGTCCACCGGAGAGATATGTATTGCTCTGGGATTTTTTCAACAGAATGCATGTGCAAGATTCTAAGGCTATGGAAGCATAACTAACCCGACTCTTCAAAATTCTTGCATGGACATTGAATTGTTTGGTTTGCTGGATCGTAAGTTACTGCTTGAGTTGTGCCAACTCTGCCTTCAAGGTACACTTGGTAAACCATTTTGCTTCCATTAATCAATAGCAGTTTAGTTTGAGATCCAATCGCTAGGTTGAATTCTTCTTCAAAGTCCCTAAATAATGTATGTGTATAAACCTCAGCAGCATGTTTAAGTAAGGCAGACATCGGATAACTTGAAGTAGGAATTGATTTTGTGCTATTGAACTCATCAAAATCCTCATTCCTTCTCCCAGTATTCACTCTCTTTTGAAATATGTTGTAGAATTCTGTCAAACTTGTCTTCTTGTTTGCTTTGAATCCCACTGCGTGATTTGTGCTTTCACTCCTCTGTGATGACAAGATTCCCGCGGAGAAAAAGTTTTTACTTAGAGCTGTTGACCACTTATGCTTTAGTGAGTATAACCTCTTGAACCAACTGTCGTTTTTCAGCTTGTACTTTTGTCGTCATTGAATTCCAACATACTTCAAACTGAGCTTCGTTAATACAACCACTCAAGTATTTTGTGAAAGCAGCTTTGAATGTGTCATCACTCTTCAAAACTCCAAATCTTGTTACAGTATTTTGAATCAAATGCCATAGACATAGTCTATGTCTACTGTTTGGAAATACCTGCACATTTTTATACAGTTACTATAGTTTCACAAATGGTTATTGCATTTAAAATAGAGGTAACTAAATATAATTTAAGTACAAACATATTTAGATGTAGTAGTATTCAAAAAGTTCCTTAAAAATTAGAAATTACCTTGGGTATTGTTGCTGCCATGGCTGCATCTTGGTCTGTAAACAGTGAGACAGGACATTTACCACTCATTGCCTTTTTAAAGGTCTTAAATAGCCACACAAATGACTGTATGGTCTCATCACCAATAAAAGAACAAGCAAACATAGTGTTCTTCCAGTGGTTGTTTATTCCTACAAAGGGTGCGCAAATGAGGTTGTAAAGATTCGTCCTATATGTGGTGTCAAATACAGTGACATCCCCATATAATTTATAATCTTCAAGCATCATAGAATCCCTCCAAAACAAGTTACAAACCCTTCCATCTGCATCTAACCTTACTCTAAAAAAGAAGTTAGGGTCTTCAGAATAAGCTTCCTGTAATTTGTCACAAACTACTTGAGAATCTCCTCCTTCAATGGCCTTTATTTTCAGTTTATAGCAATAATTCATGTGGTCTTTTACAGTATAACTAATAGCATCTTCTCCTCTAGCTTCATTTGACATGTATTTAAGGGATTCCATAGGTCTTAGTCTAGATTCTTGCATGGCCTCAATTGCTTGCCCTTTAATTTCAATCATTGCACGCTTTGAACGGTGGAAATGGTTCCATTGTGGTCTAGTGATTAGATGATTGTGCACCAACACATGCTGAACTATCTCAAATTGCCCCTCCTCATTCAATTTGGTTATTATCAAGGCATTACAGTTTGTCCTTGTTATTGGAACTCTGATCTCCTACTTTGTCTTGTTTTTTTTAACCGAAGAACTTTCCTCTGTCAAGAGTTCTGGAATTTTTTCCTTCTTTTTACCAGAATTTCTCAGTCTGGCTGTAGAGCATACAAAGAACTTTTTGGTGATAATATCTTTAGTTCTGGTTTTGCTTGTCTGTTTTGCTTTTCTAACACTAAAACCAACTGCAGCAGCATGTTGATAATACAATTCATGTATTTTTGCAAGTGTTGCTCGAGTTTCTCCTACTAACCAACCACTAATCTCTTCATTATTATTTGCACCATCCATAATTATCATTTATATAGGTCAAATTGAGGATATGGTAATTGCACTCTAAAGTCTACAATACAGCAGACATATTAGAAAAGCACTAACAAGATCAGGAAGAAGACTGATATAAATGCAAACATGAGGAAGACTGAAGTCTTCACAAGACAAAATAAGATACCCTGACATTGCAAAAAACCACCTCCTTCTTATACCCTTACATTCCCATGTAACCACCACCTCCTCCTTATACTCTTCTTCAATTATATACCCTGACATATTCTTATTTATACATTTCAATCTAATGCCTTCTTTACGCACCAACTTGTAAACAATTAACACTTCCTTGTCATCCTTCATATAACAACAATGTATGATCTATTTTAAAACTTACTTGAGGATAGTGATCTATTTTAAAACTATAGTAAATGTTGGGCATAGCTCCTTACTGTTTGTTTCTTATAAAATTATGTATCAGATGGAAGCACTACAATGTAGTATTTCCCTTTGATGCTATTCTGACTAAAGAACATTCAGGCAACATTCACTAAAGTACAATTAAAGATTAACATATGATCTATTTTAAAAAGGTTTAAAATAGATCACTATACTATCACTAAAGGCAACTATATTACTTAAAACTGGCTTTGCATATCTCTAACTACTGTAAACCTATTTATTTTCAATTAACATAAATTACGTACTACTAGTTGCAATTATACTAATTAATACCTAAATGCCTAATTTAATTTTCCAATCAAACAATTGCAATTGCATAATTGCTTAATTCACATTATCAAATTCTAAAATCAATTGCATATATATCGCATAATACCCTGAGCTTGCATTACATGTTGATTTTCCTCCTGAACTTCATTCTCATCCTCAGCTTCAATAATAGCTTGTTCTACATCTTCAACAGCTTCATCTTCTTGTTCAAGTTCGAATTGAATGGGATGATGATATAAGCTTTCTATATTTGACAAATCAAACAATGATCAATAAATTTGTACAGTTTGATCAAAATCAAATAGATGATCAGTAATAATTCTTACCGTCATAGTTGCTTTCAATTTGAGCTTCATCGTTCAGATCGAAATTGATGACATTAATATCGAAGTTTTATATAGTGCCCTGTATATTTCGATTTAGATCAATTTCAATTGATTGTATAGAAGAATTTTCCATGAATTTTGCAGAAATTGATTGATTATGGAGAAATTATTAACTCTGGAAATGATTAGAAGGAGAGAGAAAAAAATTCGAGCTCTAAAGAAAGTTGTTAATGGCATTGATGATGAAGTTGCAGGGGAAAGAGATTTCAACGTTTTCTTTTGTTTGGGGTTTTACGGGTTTAAGGGCTGGGAGTGTGTTTTGCTGCTTGGTGGGTTTGGCACGTGACATTTCTGGTCCACAATAAGTTTATTGTGGACCAGGTCCACCCAAGATTTTTTGGAGCTATATATGCTCGTATTCTAAACTTAATAAATAGTTCAATATATTGGAATTCATATCTATCTAGTGATGTTATATCCAACTTAGGAATTACTATGTACTTTATATAATATAATATAATTTCTCAGTTATTTTGCTTGCAATACTTATCATTTTACACTGACCAATGTATTATTTCAATCACTAATAATATCTTTAATTTTTAATTTATGAAATTTATAGAAATTTATAAATGTAATTCAAGACAATTCCAATAAAATTCCACATGAGTATGTATTTCCTTAATTGTGAATCATCAAAACTTGTCAGAGTAGAGTATTTTCAAGATAAAGGTAATAGATAGATTTAGAAAAAAAAAAAAAAAAAAAAGGTGGGTTTATTGGTAATGGATATATACAAGGTGAAATTAGTGTATATTGACATGCAATGTGTGTCGAATTTAATTGTGTCAATTATTCTAACACGAAAGAAGTATAAAACAAAAAAACATGATGTCATAAAGGGTGTTTGGTGGGGAGCTTGTTGGAGCAAAATTAGCTGATTTAACCCATATTAGCATATTGACCACTACAATAAGCTAATTGGGGGGTGTTTAGTGGTAAGCTAATTTAAAATGTTGATTCCATCAATTAAGCTCATTTCAAGAAGCTGCTTGGAGAAGTTTTTTCATGAACTTATTCAAGTACTTTAAGGTAAAATGACAACTATAAGTACCCTTATTTAACTCAAAACCTTGCCTCAATAAAAAATATAATAGTTCTTATTGGTCTTTTTACATACTTAAACAAGTTTAAGAAATTAGTAATTTACCAAACACTTTTATATATACAATCCGTTAATATAATTAGTTAGTCAAATTAGTTAATACAATCACTTAGTAGAAAACAACTAACATGACCACCTTTAGCTTTTCACAAGAAATGCAACTATATTCTTTTATTTGTACACTACTCCCATGAAATTGCGATCTATGTACAAGTTCAAGAATCAAGATTAGAGGGAAGTCACCAAAAAAAAAATAAAAAAAATAAAATAAAATAAAATAAAACTCGCACATCAAGAGCACATTATTATAGACTTATAGTGGTAAAAAATGAACAATAGGTGATTCGGTGGTTAATTACCACTCACATGTCTTCATCACCTAAAATATTGAAAATGAGAACATTGGAGTTACCTTTTTTAAAACCGAAATTAAAAATTATTGTAAAAAGGTCCCCGCAATAATAGAAACAAAAACATGTGTAATGTGCTTGAACGATGAATTGAAAAAGAAAGCAAGTTGGAAGACGTAACGATCATGATACAGTATTAGACTACTTTAGTACCTTGTAATATATTTGTAATTAAACTCGAGAGAGATAGAGAGAGAGAAGATCGCAATGAGGGTTGAAGTTTGGTTGTGTTTGTTGCATTTATGCTTAGCATTGTTGAGAGTGATTGCTAGAAGTGAAGGCAAAGAGTATAATCGTTACGACTTCCCGACGGATTTCGTATTTGGTGCTAGTACCTCTGCTTATCAGGTATGTATTTCACTTCTTGTAATTCTCGATTATCATATAATTTAACAACCAAGTAAAAATACATAGGTAAACAGAAAATAAAGGGTAAAACATACTTAGGATTTAATTGTATAGGTAACAAGTGATAAAACCGGACTTGGCTTGTATGAATCGAAGCGAGCCCGAATCCGGTTGAATGATGCAAAATCAAAAAATCTAATGTAAATTGAAATATTAATTTGTATGTGAAGGTGGAGGGAGCAGCATTAGAGGATGGAAGGAAGCCTAGCATATATGATACTTTTGCCCATCGTTTGGGTAAGTAAACCTTGTTAACTTGTTTCATAACTTTTATTTACAACCGACATGAGTGATATGATAGATAATATAGTAAAAAGAAAGATGAACAAATGTTTTCATGAAACACATAATTAGTGCTTTATTTGTGCTCCTTTTAGGGGTGTCAAAAACTTACCCGACCCAAAAGATTTACTTAAAATCAAACTGTTTTCGAACTGATAAGATTAGAGAATTTATTATCCAAATTCGATCTGGAATCAACCTGAAATTAACTCAAAACCAACTTTAACCAGTAATGTATGATCCAAACCAAAATTTGGAATCGACTCGTACTTAACCTGAAACCAATAAGACCGAATAATCTAAGAGCCTTTCTCTTCTCAACTCATGGTGTATTATACTATATATAACCACCAATTTGAAATAATATATTTGTCCCAATTACTTTTTGCTCGGTCTTTAATGTGTATTTGTGACCCAAAAAAATAAATAAATAAATAAATAAATAACTAAAATTATGAATATACACATCTAGATGAATATAACTACACATGGTTATATGTTTTTATGGAGGTTAAAGTTTTTAAGTTTGAGCATATGGATTATCAATTATGAATGAGAATTGGGAAAATATGACGTATAAAATAACATAGTCAAAATAAACTATAACTTAAAGATATTTAAAAAGATTATGATTATCAATGAAAGATAATAAAACAAAAGAGAAAAGCATTTGTTCATTTTCTAGATGGATAAAGCAATTACAAGCCTATAGAAAAAAGATTTTTATTTTTGAGTGGTGGTGGGGAAGGTGGAGTGAGTGGAAAGTTAACAACATCCCTTACTAAAAATTAAAAAATTTAGCTACCTAATACTCCACTTTTTTTTTTTTTTTTTTTTTTTTTTTTTTTTTTTTTTTTCTTTTTTCTTTTCTTTTTTCTTATATGACTCATAAAACTCTCACAAACAAGTGAATCACGAAGAAAACAAAAAGGAACCGAGGGAGTAAGCCGCAATGAGATAAGAAGTTAAGCCATGTAAAAAAAACTATGTCTTGGTCTAGTGCATATTATGTGTGTGTATATATATATTAGGAAATTGTCAAGAATAATCCCAACTTTGGATTATTTATTTTAATTATCTGAACTTTTATGTGAATTTACTTTCAACGATCCCAAGTGACTTGTAACCTATTGAATAGGTAATTTTTTTTTTTAAAATAAAATTAATTTACACGTGTCACCACGTGATTGGCCAAAAATAAGTTCTAATAAATTTTTTTTAAGAAAACATTAAAAAAATAGATGAACACTTGACTAATTATTTTAAAACTAACTACTGTATTTTAAAAATATTTTAAAAAAAAAAACCTAACTATTAAAAATAATTAAAAAAAAAATAAAATCCCAACAACCACCAGCCCAGCCACCCCTTCTCGCCCTCCACCATTTGCCCATCCGAAGCCCCCATTCCCTCTGCCCCACGGCGCCGGCCGCACACTGTCTCCCTTCCTCCGGCAACGACACCGACCCCTCCTCCCCTTATGGCGCGTACCCCCCTTCCCCCTAACCACTGACGCACCACCCTCTCCCACGAAACTGCCCTAAAAAACACTCCCTACTCTCAAAAACCCAAAAAGAAGACTTACATACAAAGGGCATGAAAATGAATTAGAGAAGAATTGCATAATTCCTACGAAGAGTTTCATTGATAGGAGAATGAAGGACCGGTGAGATTCGTGAGAAGAGAATCAAGGGGGAATTGGTTCACTGGTTTTAGGGGATTTCGTGGAGGAGGGGGTAGGTGGTTCGGGGGATGGGGGGTGACGCGCGAATAGGAGAGAGGGTCGGCGTCGGGGGAGAGGGTTTGGGCGTGGTTGGCTCCGGGGGCAGCTGGCGGGGAGGGCAGGGTGGCTGGCGAGGACGTGAGGTGGTGTTTGTAGTTAGTTAATTTATTATTTATTTTTGATTTTTCTTAGAAAAATAAAAAAAATTGAATTTTTTAATTTTGTTTTACTAATCACATGCTGACACGTGTCAGGTGACCTGTAATAACAAGTTGGATGACCCGTTGGGACTATTAGAAGTAGGGATGTCAATGGGGCGGGGCGGGGCGGATGTTGGTCTTCCCATCCTCATCTCCATCCCCACCTAAAATTTTCATCCCCATCCCCATCCCCGTCCCGGCGGGTACAATTCCAAAACAATCCCCACCCTAACCCTCACTTGGATATCCACCTCCACCTAATCCCCACCTAAGACTCGCCTAATCCCAGCCTCCCAAATACATAATCTTTCATAATTAATAAAGAATGCAAAAAGAAAAAAATTATTGTTAATATTACACATTTTTTTGTTTATAATATAAGTGTATTACAAAGTATTATTATTTACAATTTTATTTTACATAATTTTTTTTATAAAATAGTATAAAAGTATATAATTTTGTTTTTAAAAATATATGGATGTGGGGATGGGGCGGGGCGGGGGCGGGGCGGGTACGAAGTGGGGCGAGGTGGGGATGGGGTGGGTACAACCTAAAATCCACCCCCGTCCCATCACCCATGGCGAGTATGGTTTTTATCACCATCCCCGCCCCATCACCCGCCAAACCAAGACCCATCCCCGCCCCAACCCTATTTGACCCACCCCACTGGCATCCCTAATTAGAAGCAAATTCGCATCAAAGTTTGGATTATTAAAAAATAATCTAAAGTTGGGATTATTTTGAGCGAATGAGGCAAAGTTGAGATTATTTTAGACAATTTTTCTTTTAATCAATTACGCTTTTCTAAATTGATGCGGATTTGAGAACTACAAAATATATTACAAGTTTACGACTTACGAGCATATGCTTATATAGTTTATATGCAATCGTAAAATGTTGGATGTTGGATATTGTTTCGTATAAGTTTATGGTCCTAAATACTTTGCGCCATAAATTCCTTTTTTTTATTATTATTATTATTATTATTATTATTATTATTATTATTATTATTATTTTATTTTATTTTATTTTTTTTTTTTTTTTTTTTGGAATTTTAGAGAACAGGAAGTCAACAATGTAGGCGAGTGCCTTCATATAAATATTCCTCCTTATCATTGGCTTTTTTCTGTCTACTAACTTGCTTTGTTTCATTAATTAAGTCTAAATTGCAATTTTCAGAGTATGACACAGGTAATCCAGATGTAGCATGTGATCAATATCATAAATACAAGGTGATCGATCAATATTTCACTTACATTATTTTGCAAGGATTTTATTATTATAAACAAGCCGGATTGTTATTCGTAATATTCAATAATTATGAATGTCATCTATGCACCAGGAAGATGTTCAACTCATGGTGGAAACAGGATTGGATGCTTATCGGTTTTCTATATCGTGGTCAAGATTAATTCCAGGTACAATTAGTCAATTACCAATCTACATAACTTATGAATATCATCTATTAATTATTATTAAAACAAAACATGCTGACATCATTTAGGGGCACATGTCAATTTTTTATTACAAAAATTTCCCGCCTGAACTATTTTTGACATCATTTTTTTTTTCTATATTTTTTCTCCAAAGTTACAAGACTAAATAAGTAGAATACTTCTTTCAAAATTATTTAATGAGATTATTGATTACACATTTTTGAAATAAAGAATTGACAACTATTTTAAACAAATAATACTCACTTCGTCCCTTTAAGTTCGATCCTTATGGATAAATTTTTTGCGAGAATTACAAAACTTAAATAAGAAGTAATACGTAAAAGTACATTGGAAAAGTAAATTTACACGGGGTTTGCAAAAAAATAGAGAGAGAAAGTAATAAAATTATACGGAAAAACAACATTTACATAGAAAAGCTAAATTTGCACAAATATTGTTGTCAGTTGGAGGTTATTTTAATGCAAATGGGATGAACATTTTGGTACTAAAATTTGGCCATAAAGGTCGAACTTAAAGGGACGGAGGAAGTAGTTATTTAATTCGTGAAACACACGGGACTAAATTAGTATTTTAAAAAATAATTCATTATTTTCTCCCTTCAAAAAAAAATAAATGTACTTTTGTTTTTAATTTAATACTTGCAACACACTTTTAACGGTTTTTAACTTTTTAAGAAAAGTGGGCCTTATATTATTTAATACACTTGAAATTGGGGTAATAACTTTCTTTTAAAAAATATCAAAATAAAAAAGGAGGGTAATAGATTATTAGGAATATAATTTAGTAGGTCATGAACATTAATTGAAAAAGGATAATAATACAACGAACTTTCAACAAAAACAACTTTTCAATTATATTGTGTTGCAAGTATTGTAACATTTTCATTTTAGTGAAGTATTACAACGTGCAAGTATTAAAAACTGGAGGAAGTATGACATTGTTATTATTTTAAGGATTTTTTTATATGTAAATATATTCAATTTATAAAGCATGCATGCTTCCTCCGTTTTTTCATCCTTGCAACCGTTTGACTTTTACACTATTCATTTGCTTCACTTTGACTAGCATTGGTGATTTATAGCTAAGAAAAAAAATATTATCATGTGGGATCTTGTTAAATTCGTCTCGATTTATATTATTTTAATATAAAATGTTTATAATTTTTACATAATAGTAATTAAAGATCTTAACGATTGAAATAATGTATCGGCAAATGTGAAAAGAGAAGTGTTACAAGTATTTGAAAAAAAATAATAAAAAAAATAAATAAACAGAGGATGTAACTCTGTTCGTAGCCTTTACGATTTGTTTGGGTAATGTTAAGGGAAGGAAAAGAAGGGGAGGGAAAGGAAAGGAAGGGAATGAAGAATAATGAGTTTTTATTCCAAATCTCTCTATTGTTGGTGTTGAAGTATAAATTTCCCAAACAACTCATGTAAGTATTTCACATTGAAAGAGAGAGAGAGAGGGGAAAAAAAAAAGTTAAATATTTTTTAAGACTTAAGGGAGACTCCTCATATTGCCATATGGTTTTGCGATGTAACCTTCTTTAATTTTGTGAAGTTGATTCTCTTTCTTGGTGACGGGTGCAGCCCACACTGTTATCTAAAAATAATATTAGAGCCAGGCCCACTGTATGACCTCTTATTGCTTGAGTAATGAGTACACTAGGCCAAGTTGAGTGGGTTCATGTGAGCGGGGAGTGAAAAAAATGCGCTCTAGCCCTATGACATATCACATGAGACAAAATTTAAGGGACTTTACATGTGAGGAGTGTTGAAGTATCAATTTTCCAAATAAGACATCTAAAAATCCTACATTGAGAAAAGAATTGAAGAGAGAGTCAAACACTTTATAAGGCTACGAGGCTACACCTCCTATTGTCATACGAGGCTACACCTCCTATTGTCATATGATTTTGGGATGGAACCTCTTTTGCTCTTGTGAAGAGAACTCTCTCTTTTGTTGACAGGTGCGGCTAGACCTGTATTTAACAATTAGAAGGATCAAATTTAATCCCTCTATTATATTGTAATCTTGATCGTTATCTCTAAAATTTAGTCACACAGTCACTTAATCACTTGCCCACTGAATTGAAACGCGGGTACTCTAAATGGATAGGGATACCCAACTATCCTTATTGAGTAGAGTGGGTAAGAATACAACTACTCAAAGAAAACGGGTTGTTTTTCTATATGTTTTGTTAGGTTATAAGTGTGAGTTGTTGTCTAACATGGAAAAATTAAATAAATAACTACTAGTTTATAACCTAAGTGAGCTACTCTTCCTATTACCATATATGGTTTTGAAATGGAACCTCACTTGGGCTTATATGTGGGCTTTTCTCTCCTCTTTGTCTCTCCCCTGATTCCTAATAAGTGGTATCAGAGCCAAAGGTTGATTAGCGTGTTTACACATTAAAGATATCTTCTCTTACGAAGTTCGAGATTGATAAATTCGATGGCAAGATTTGTTTCATCATTTGGAGGATTCTTATAAAGGTCGTTCTTGATTGGAGCGGATTGGACACTTTATGGCGTACATACGCCATAAAGCCATAAACGATGGATTCATTATTCAACCTCAGTTTGGCATTGCGTTCTCGTCAAACAAGTTCAAGTATATCACATTTCTCTTCAACCCGGATATTGAATGGGTTATCAAGTGACATATTGCATACCTTTTCGGGTTCATACGACGAGTACATGCATATGGAATTTGTTCCAAGGTGGAAAGGGTTAGTGTGGCCCAAATTTCATAGCCCAACTTATTACATCTCAAGGTTTCTAGAAAACTCTACAATATTAGATTTTGATGGAGAATTATGGAAGAATCTAGAAATGGTGATGTTTATGAAGATTCTAGATTTATATGGCAATTTAAAGAGCATGTGTGTAGAGTTTTCCACACACTTCTTCCACCTCCATACATCACTTATAAATATAAGGTGTTGAGCATCATTTGAGAGCATGTATCCACCTACATCATCCTCTAGATACTCCGATGTTATACACTCTATGAGTGTCCCTCCAACATATCATGATTGGAGTTTCTACACACACCCAATCTCCCTAATCCACTATCTTTATTTTGTACTACTTATTTGTGAGTTCCTACGGTGAGAGTTTACATGTAATACTCACCCTTTCAAGGGTTCTTATACTCTCCTATTTTCATATAGTGGATTATTTCGGGTGCTCGTTGTTAGTGGGTTTTTTTGATAATTTTTCCCACATTAAATATTATGTGTCAATTTTTTTACTACTTATCTTGCCTTTATCTTTCTGTTAATTCCCGTCAAAAAAAATCTTTTGCCTAATTATTTTATCAATCTCTACATCTTTATTTTGCTTCCGTTGTGCACTCACCAACCCTAACATTTTTATTACTTTAATTTACAATCATTGCTTTTTTTTTTTTTTTTTCCTTTCTTCTTCTTTTTACTCTCATCGTTTTTATGCTGATGAGATAATGTTGTTTATTATTTTTTATTTAAATCTTGATTAATTAGATTTAGATTACAAATTTCAATAGAAAATTCAAAAAATTTATTCACTTTAATATAATACAATCATATATGTAGTAGAGTAATCCCTTCCTCCTAAAATATTGCGAGTATGTTTGTATTATTCCATTTTGAATGATTCAAAATGTTGACTGTTTTTATTTATTTTTTTATTTTTCATAGATGGTAGAGGAGCTATTAACCCCAAAGGTTTAAGATTCTACAACAATCTCATCAATGAACTCATCAGTCACGGTACATAATATGTTACAAGCTATATTGCCTATATATGGTAACAACAATTATAAATTATTGTTTTGGTCACATTGTTAAGTTCAAATTCAATTTGCAGGAATCGAACCACATGTTACACTTTTGCACACAGATTTACCACAGGTTCTTGAGGATGAGTATAGAGGCTTCCTCAATCCTAAGATCATGTATGTAATTGTTGATTTGATCATAAACAATCTCTGTTTCAATTCATAATACAACGTTTTTATATTCTTTAATTTCCTTCCTTTGTTTTAAATCTTGTGCAATTTATAGAATAATTAATTAAAAAAAAAAAAGAAAGTAACTTTACTATACATGAATATTTTTGTAACCTATAATTGTTTTAGAATAACTTTATACCTGTTGTACAACTCACCTTATTTAAAAGTTCGTATATACATAAAAAAAATATGTGTCTAAAATAGATTAATTTATCTAAATTATTTTTCTATTGGCAACTAATTTATCCACTTATGCAGAGAAGACTTTACATCATATGCAGACGTTTGCTTTAGAGAATTTGGTGATAGGGTTCGGCATTGGACAACTTTCAATGAAGCGAATATCTTCGTCTTTGGTGGTTATGATGTTGGTAATACACCCCCAAGTAGATGTTCTTTCCCCTTTGGATTTATCAATTGTACTAAAGGAAACTCGACTACGGAGCCATACATTGCTGCTCACCATATATTGTTGGCTCATGGATATGCTGTAAAGCTTTATAAGGATAAGTACAAGGTAAGTGACATAATATATATACTTCTTCAACAAGTTCCATTGCTCGTAATAATAATAATAGTTATATTCTCATACTCTCTCCGTTCCTTATTGTTTTAATCATTTAACCAAAAAAGTGAGTTTGTGGAGCGAACATAAAGGGATTGAGGGAGTATATTATGTTTTGAACATTATAAAATACATTGGCATGCTTAAGTATTGCTGATTTTATTTTAAAATATCGTGTAAGTTAATACAATTGGATATAGGCCAAACAACACGGACTGATTGGGTTCAATCTCCTTTCCTACCATTTTGCACCTTTTACGGACACAAGAGAAGATATGCTTGCAGGTCAAAGATCTTACGATTTTTTTATGGGCTGGTAAGCTGAAACTTAAATGGGTATTTAGGTACCTTTTTTTTTGACGTGATGGAATAAAGGTATTTACCGTATACCCCTGAATTTTTTGTTTATTCACCAGTATACCCATAAAATTTTTCAATTCATCATATACCCTTGAGTTGTTACAAAAATTCACCATATACCCCTAATGACAACAAGATGAGTGCAATTTGGTTAATTATGCATCGAAACCATCTTAAATCTCCCCCCATCCCCGAAACCACTCCTTTCCTTTCTCCAACCCCGAAAACCACTCCAAATCTCCATAACCATATCCGTATGATTGATTTTGAGGATAAGAAAAGGAAATTTGGGGTGGTTTTGGGTCATAATTAACCTTATTGACTGACGAAGTTAACAATCATTAGTCATCAAGAGTATATGGTGTATTTTTGTGAAAACTCGGGGGTATATAATGAATTTAAAAAAGTTAAGGGGTATATGGTGAATAAACAAAAAACTCAGGGGTATATGGTGAAAAAACCGAAAAATGAAGGAAGTAAAAATATTTAATATCAATTAAAGAATATTTAAAAGGGAATTTCTAGACAGTGACCTATATTTGCAATATTCTAGCTGCTGGAATTTTTTTTTCCCGATTATTTTCCCACAGGGTCACCATAGAAAATTGATATAAACAAAATAACTAAGTTTTTTAAGGAGTACTTTGTAGTCTGTACAAACTTATATAATATAGTTTACCAGAAAATTAATAATAAATAAAAATATAACCTATTTAATTACCCGATTATAAATGGTACATTTGTATCATTGTATGTAATAGCTGTTGTAAATAAGGGGTGTCTAGTACAAATGGTCAACGAGAATGAACAAGAGAAAGTTGAATAATCTTAGATGGAATTCGGTGTGGCATGATAATAATCACTGATTTGAAAACGAAATCAGGCGCAACCGGGGTGAACAATTGTATTCACCGGTACCTTCCCTAAGGTTACACACACCACTCCTACACAAAGGCACTTTTGGGTGGGAGGTTGGAGACTAGTAAACTATGCCCAAAGAGATAATATATAGTATTTTGCTTAATGTGTTTGATGATTGTGTAATCTTATTTTTGCAACCATGAAATATATAATGTGAAGAGGGAAAATCAAGAGTTTAGGAAGCTAAAGAGACAAGCTATGATACAAAGCCTTAGAAAGAGATAAAGGTGTCTTAACAACCCCTTAAACCCTATTAATTGGGAGTTAAGAGGAAGTTACAAAGGAGAAGAGGAGTAGAAAAGGTTGGAGCTTCCAATGGTCACCTGGCACATTCACGTGCCTGACCGGGCGGATGATCGCTGGACCAGGCGACGGAACATCAGCTCAAAATTCGCGCTCTCGCGTCCTGTTGGGCAAACACTCGCTTCACCGGGCGAATCTCGCCCGACCGTGCGCCTAACCGGGCAAATGTGCCAAGGTTAACATTTCATTTTCTTCCTTTATTCCAACAATCACCCCACTAAAGAAAGAAAAGAAAATTCAACAAAAGAACCGAGAAATAACATATGGTCCTAAGAGGAGATGTAGTACATAACGCTTAGATATTACATTAGTAATTTGAAATCTAGTGCTTAGTGAAATGAGGCAATGAGCTACAAGCATAAAGGTGGACAAACCTTGAAACCCATATACCCTTGATTAAAGAGTGGACTAACCTTGAAACTCTAAGATTTTACTCAAGACCCCCATAACACATATATCACTCTATAAATTACATAATCTCCGCGAAAAGATGTACTATTTATAGCCAAGTACATTCGCCTTAGGTCTAGAGGAAGCTTTAGAAAACCGGCCAAGACTTTCATAGAAGATGGCTAGTAATCACAACCACATAGGTGCATCAAAAAATGCGTCTTTATAGCATATGGGCCCATTAAGAGTTAAATACTCAACTTCACAAAATACAATGGTGGATACCACACTTTCATTAAGAGTTAAACAACTCAACCTCATACATGCATTACAAACTCTATCACTATAGGAACTAGGACAAGTGTAATGCATCACTTGGCCTTGAGTCCAATTCCCCTCGATGATTCTTTAACCTGTTTTCTTGCTAACCTTTTCGTCAAAGGATCCGCAAAGTTCATTTTGAACCTCACAAAATCAGTCCATTCTTGAGCAATTGTCTTACTACTTTGTGTCTCATACGAATATGTCTCTTCTTGCCATTGTAGTTGCTATTATTAGCTATTGCAATTGCTGCTTGAGAATCACAATGTAAAGACAACAGAGATGAAGTCTTCCCCCACAATGGTATGTCGGCTAGGAGGTTCCTAAGCCACTCCTCTTCATGACCTTCCAACTCAAGAGCAACCAATACAGAGTCCATGGTGGAGTGCGCTAGACATGGTTGTTTGAAGACTTCCATGAGATAGCACCTCCAACTAAAACAAAAACATACCCACTAGTAGAAGAAACTTCATCATTATCGGTTACTCAATTAGCATCACAATAGCCTTCTAAAACATTAGGAAACCGATTAAAATGCAAATATACCTCCATAGTACCCTTAAGATACCTAAGTAATCGACGAAGAGCAGTCCAATGACTTTAACTTGGATTGTAAGTATATCTACTAAGTCTACTCACTGCATAGGCAATGTCGGGTCGTGTGCAATTTATCAAAAACATCACACTACCAATTACCTTTGCATATAGATCTTGAGATACACTAGGACCCTTGTTCTTCATTAGATACATATTGGGATCATATAGTCTTACTAGGCACAACATCAAAATAGTCAAATTTCTTAAGAATCTTTTCCACATAGTACGTGAGATTGACTCATGGAAAATCCGTTCTTAGTTTTCCTTAAACAAATTCCAAGAATGACATCAGCTTCACCCAAGTCCTTCATCTTAAACTTAGTAGAAATAAAGGCCTTAGCATCATTCACAACATCAAGATTAGTACTAACAATAAGCATATCATCAACATATAAACAAATTATCACACATGATGAACCAAACACTTTAGAGTACAAACAAGAATCTGAAGAATTAGTCACATAACCACAACTCCTAAGAGTACTATCAAACTTTTCAAACCATTGCTTAGAAGCTTGCTTAAGACCATAAAGAGACTTTCTAAGCTTACACACTTTGTGTTCTTGTCCCTTCACCACAAAATCTTCCGGTTGAGTCATATAAATTTCTTCATCAAAGTCTCCATTAAGGCCTTGTTTGGTTCACCTTATTTATACTGACCTGATCTAATTTGGTCTAGTCTGGTCTGATCTGATCTGATCTGATTGTCTGATTTGACCAAACTTTGACCTTAAGTGTACGATAAGGAAAAAATATATCAAGTGGGATCTTGTTAGATTCGTAATAATGTGTAGTTTATTATTATGTAATTTTCACAATTTTATTCATTATGAAATTAAGAATATTTAGCGATAAAAAACCGCACATAAAACGATGTTCTGATCTGAACTTATTTTTTCTGATCTGATCTGATCTGAACTTATTTTTTCTGAAATAAGTAAAAAGTTGAACTAAACAAGACCTAAGAAAAGCCGTTTTAACATTCATTTGGTGAACCACTAAGTCATGAATTGTCGCAAGGGCTACCAAGCTTCTAATGGTAGCATTCTTAGTCTCGGCAGAATAAGTGTTAAAGAAATTTATACCTTCTTTTTAGGTGAAACCTCTGATCACAAGTCTAGCTTTGAATTTTTCTATGTTCCCATCTAGTCTAAATTTCTTCTTTAAAATCCACTTAGAACTTATAGGTTTAGAATCCTTAGGCAAGTCACAAAGATCCCAAGTATGATTGGAGATAGTAAAAAGTTCACTCTTAATGGCCTCTTTCCAAAAACTAGCATCTATGGACCTCATTGCCTCATCATAAGTCTTAGGGTATTCTTCTAAAAGAAACAAAGACACAACATGCCCACTCAAAGAATCCACATCAAAGTCTTCTACCACAAAAAAAGTCAAGAAATCTGGTCCAAAGGAAGGCTCTACTCTAGGTCTCTTACTTCTCCTAGGTTCAACTTCTACCAATTTGGTAGAGGAATAGGGGAAACTAGAAATAAGCATAGAATCAACAAGAGGCACATTAATACTTGACTCACTAGCGTGTACATCAATATTAGAAGACAAGGACTTGTTCATAGGAAAAAATATGCTCAAAAAAATACCGCATCTAGCTCTAGCTTCACAAATTGATTTATCACTTAATAACATGAATCTATAGGCTGCACTATTACGAGTATATCCAATGAACACACAATCAAAAGTTTTTTAGACCCAATAGTGGTTTTCTTAAAATCTGAAAAACCAACCTTAGCCAAACACCCCCACACTTTTAAAATTTTTAAATTTGGACTATATCCGTTCAATAGTTTATATATAGGGAGTTTTGTCCAACTTCTTATGGGGCACTCTATTGAGTACATAACAAGCGGAAAGAACCGCTTCTCCCCACAAGTTATCAGGCAAACCGAAACTAAAAAGCATAGCATTTATAGTCTCTTTCAAAGTTTTATTTTTCCTTTCGGCAATACCATTTGATTGGGGTATATAAGGTGCACTTAACTCATGTGTGATACCATTGGCCTCACAAAAATCTTGTAAAGAACTTTTACCATACTCGCCACCTTTATTGGTTCTAACTATTTTGATCTTTAGGTCCAATTGATTTTTAACTTCGGCTTTGTACTTTAAAAATGCACTTTCAGCTTCATCTTTTGTTTTAAGCAATTACACTTTGGTAAATCATGAAAAGTCATCAACAAAAGTAATGTAATAATTTTTTCCACCCCTGCTAGTGCAATTTTTAAAGTCCGCTAAATCTGAACGAATCAATTCTAGTAGTTTTGTACTTCTTGATACCACTTGCTTAAATGGTTTCTTAGTATGTTTGGTCTCAACACAAATTTGGCATTTATCAAGTTTGTCATCCATTGAAAAATTAATCAAATTCATATCCTTTAAATTTTTCAAGTAAAAAGAATTAAGGTGGCCTAAACAGTTGTGGCAAACATCCAATTCAAGACTCAACAATATAAGTAAAAGAAGTACTACCATTCTCATTCATAACAATTAAAACAAACAAGTCATTATTGAGGTAACCTTTCCCAACAAATAAAGTCACCATTCTTAAAAATTACAATCTTGTTGGCCTCAAAGATAAGTTTTAGGCCGGCTTTGTTGAGAAGGGCTCCCGAAACAAGATTTCTCCTAATAGAAGATACATACAACACGTTGTTCAAAAATATAGTTTTTCCGGAGGTGAGTTTAAGATGGACCTTTCCTTTGCTAAGGACTCCGGCGGTGCTACTATTTCCCATGTAGACATGATTTCCGTTAGTTACATCTTCAAACTCAGTAGTCAAAGCCTTGTTAGCACAAAAATGCCTTGATCCTCCGGTGCCCAAAATCCACTCAAGTTTGTTCTCCACCAAGTTGGCTTTAACCACCACCGCCGCAATGATATCTTCCGTTTTCAATGATGTTGGCTTGGGAGGTATTGCCATCTTTCTTGGCCCCATGATGTCTTTGGTTGCATTGGTATGCTGTGTGTCCAACGATCCCACACACATAGCATGCTCCCTTAGGCTTTTGGATTTTGTTTTTATGAGTGAAATTCCCTTTGGACTTGTTGTTTCCCTTATTCTTAGAATTTTTCCTGTTTTTAGACACATTCAAAGAAGATTCAACAAGATTAGCTTTAGAAGAATTAAGATAGACAAATTTTCAAACTTATCCTTAAGGCGATTATAGCCTCTTCGGTTCTCATTGGATAATAAGCTCTTGAAGTGTCACGTCCTTCTTTTTATGCTTCAAGGAATTGCGGTAGTCATTCCAAGATGGAGAAAATTTCTCCAAGAGAACAATGGCTTGAAGAGTCTCACACATCTTCATGCCTTCACCAAGAATTTCGGTCACCAAGTTTTCATAGTCATGCACTTGACCCATGATTGGCTTCTCATCATCCATCTTAAAATTGATCCATTTACCCACCATATACTTCTTCTTACCTGCATCATCCGAACCATATTTCTTCTCCAAAGAATCCCAAATGGCCTTACTTGACTTAAAATTGACAAACAAGTCAAACAAGGTGTTGTTCATATGGTTGAGAAGATGACCACGAACTAGCTTGTTGTCCTTTTCCTTTTTCTTCAAAGCTCCGGTCACGATTGTCGCAATGGCGGCCACAGTGGCAACGGCTTGTTCTTACGCCTTCTTGAGCACCTCAATTATGTCTTCATATAGCACATATTCTATTTCAATTTTCTCAAAGAAAATTAGTAACTTTTGTGACTACCTCTTATAGCTGCTACCATCAAGAGGCTCCAACTTAGAGAGGTCAGGAAGGGTCTTGTTCATAACACTAGTTGCAATAGACGTTATTTCATTATCAAATTGTTGTAAATAAGGGGTGTCTAGTACAAATTGTCAACGAGAATGAACAAGAGAAAGTAGAATAATCTTAGATGGAATTCGGTGTGGAGTGATAATAATCACTGACTTGAAAACGAATCCGGCTCAAACGGGGTGCACAATTGTATTCGCCGATACGTTCCTTAAGGTTACACACACCACTCTCACACAAATACACTTTTGGGTGGGAGGTTGGAGACTAGTAAACTTATGCCCAAAGAGATAATAGTGTTTAGTTTACTGTGTTTGATGATTGTGTAATCTGATTTTTGCAACCATGAAATATATAATGTGAGAGGGAAAATCAGGAGTTTAGGAAGCCAAAGAGACAAGAGACAAAGCCTTAATAAGAGATTAAGGTGTCTTAACAACCCCTTTAACATCCCATGCATTAATTGGGAGTTAAGAGGAAGTTACGAAGAAGAAGAGGAGGAGAAAAGGTTAGAGCTTCCAACGGTCACCAGGCGCCCGACTAGGCGGATGATTGCCCGACCGGGCGATGGAACATCATTCGAAACGATTGATCTCGCGCCCGATCAGGCGAGATTCGCCCGACCGAGCGAACTTCTAGCTCAAAATTCGCTTACTCTCGTGCCCTGTCAGGCGAACACTCGCCCTACCGGTCAACATTTCATTTTCTTCCTTTATTTCAACAATAGCCAGGATTAAGATTTTTAAACTATAATTCAAGTTGAGCAACTTATCAATAATAATTGAGGAATGAGGAGATGGAGGGATGGTTAGTCCCTCCATCTCCCAGACATGTGATGGGGGTTTGCTTCCTCATAGCCCCCCTCATGTGATAGGTGAGGGGGCCCCTCTCCGTAGTTTACTTTTGAAAAAAAAAGCTTATCAATAATTGATTTACAGAATAATATATGTTTAATTTTGTGTTATTATTCTTAAATCTTAAGAGGAATTCTAACTTTTGGCTTTTTTTGTTGGGTATTAGGTTTATGCACCCCTTGACTTATGGTGATTACCCTGAAATAATGAAGAAAAATGCAGGCACTAGAATTCCAACTTTCACAAAAAATGAGTCAAAATTATTGAAGGGCTCAATTGATTTTATTGGAATTAATTACTATACTGCCATAGTGGTCAAGGACAATTCAATGAGCCTCAACACAACGCCACGAGATTATATTGCCGATATGGCAACGCAGTGGTTATGTATGCTTTATTTCTCCGTCTTCTATCATATTCCGTACTTCATACGAAACATGCTCTTTTGTTCTTGATGAATACTTGCAACATTTGAGTTTAAATGAACTTTAATTTTACGAAAATTGTGGAAAGTAAAATAATATGAATAAACCGGCCTAGTGTACAAGAAGTGAAGCTAATGGAGGGTTTTAAAAATGTTTGAGTGAGAGAGAATCAATACAAAATTAATTCAGTGGAGGATATAAACAATATTGGGTTTAATTATTGTCTTAAAATTAAAGTGTTGTGAGTATTCAGAAACAAAGACAGTGTCAGTGGGTACATGTTATAAGGAGTACTTTGTATCTATTTATTGGATTACTAACATTATTACACATTTACTTAATTTCTTTTCTGATAAAACATTTAATAAATTTCATTTTTATAAAACATTTATTTTTCGTTTTTAACATATGAAGTATATCCAATAGTAATAACTGACCTTGTTTACTTTATTAATTTTTATTATTTTATTAATTTATTTATTTTTACAGTTTTTAATACGAGTGCACTATCTGAAAAGGTAAGGTTCAAAGTCAATTAAGCCTCTCGTTTATGATTTGGTTGTATTTGTATATTCATCATCTATTAGTGGCTCACACCTTGATTATGATATTTTTCCTAGACTATCTTTCCAAATGAACCATTGAGTTTAGAGCGAGTTTTGAAGTATTACAAGGATGTTTATGAAAATCCTATCATATTTATCCATGAAAATGGTATTCTTTTTTCTTTCCTTTCATTTTCAAATTAATTATTAATATGTTTGATTATAAATTAATTATAGTTAAAATGGAAATTGGTTGTATTAGGTCAAGCGGCAAGTTATAATACCTCAACAGACGATTCATTCAGGGTTGAATATATACGTGACCATGTTGAGAGTTTGCATAATGCTGTGAGGTAAGACTACTAGAACTTATTATCACAATGGTAATTTATTGTCTGAGAGTTATACATACTTCCTTCGCTTTAGTTCGTTTTAAAGTTTTGAATGTTATGTTTATCAATACATAATTTGAATCATAAATATTTTAAATTTTAATTGTACTTTAAAACTTAATACACATTATTATGATTGTGTGCGCAATGAACTTTTATAACTCTTATTAATCACGAGTTTAACTTATTGATGTTATTTATACAATGAATTAACTTTGGATAGAATTACAAATTTGCCTCTAGAAAAACCTTCTATAAGTATATTAATTTAAAAAAAGGGCGCTATATATATTAAAATAAAGGTTATTAAGTTAAAATAAAAGTCATTGTGTTAGTATAAAGATCATAAGACGCTAATTTACGTTTTAATTGAAAGTGTTTTATACTGATCAATATAAATAATAAAGGTCCTTATGTTAAAATTAAGATCCTTATATTTAACATAGTATTGGTTGACATATATGTATTTTAACTTTACAATAATATTAAAGGTCACAGGAGTTTAAATAAAGACCACTATGTTAAAACTATGGTCACTATGTTCAAGTTTTTTCTGTTCTTTCATTGTTTAGTTAATTATGATCACAACAAAATATCAAAAAATTTATTTCATACTGGTTGTATATTATTAGTTGAATAGATTATAAAATATTAATGGATTAAATAATAATTCGTTAACTCTTTTTTAATTTTCTCTATATTGCAGAAATGGATCTAATGCTAAAGGATACTTTGTATGGTCACTTTTGGACGTGTATGAATTATTATTTGGCTTCGATTATACTTTTGGTATATACTACGTCGATTACAATGATCCAAATTTGACAAGACACCCTAAGCTTTCTCAACAATGGTACTCACAATTTTTGAAAGGAAGAAACACAACAGCAGATATACAAATGAATCAAGCAAAGGATACAACTATTAGTACTCGATCTTCAATTTAGAAAGTAGAGTTTTGTATCATGATGATAAATATTGCATATTGAGGAGATTCTTTTTTTTTTTAATCAATATGACAAGCAATTGAAAAAATCATAGAAAATAATATCTTTATTGCTATATTGACTCATCAATATAGCGTTACAAAGTATAACTATAGCGTTACAAATACTTGTTTAAAGATTGTGTGCGCATGCAATGTGTGCGACTAATTAGAATGATATTTTGCATCAAGAATATGTTACATATTGAATTTTTGTACTTAACAAAAAAAGTTTAAAGTTTACCTCGATATAATAATTACCCACGACTTAATCATACTTTCTCGACACATCATCCAGCACATTAAATTATAACAATATTTTTTTTTTTTTTTTTTTTTTTTTTTTTTTTTTTGTATAATTTTGTCACAAATTGTGACATTTAGCATTTTTTTTTTTTTTTGTTGACGAAACATTTAGCATAACCCTACTTCATATATATAGTGATATATGTTCGGCTGATTCCATTTAGAAAATTGGTTGAAAGAACATATATGACGCATTGATGAATGAACATACGAAGTAGTATAATTGATTTTAAATATTGCTATTATGTAAAATAACGCACATATATATCTAGTGTTTTTATATCATAATATCATTATTCTTTTATATAACACTCACTTCTTTTAATACAAATTAAACAAATATCAAGCACATGTATCTATAATCTAATTTATAATTATCGAATAGCAAAAAATATTTTGACATTCAATAAGTAATAATTATAAAAATAAAAATAAATAAAAACCCAATAATAATAAACATCTAAAATAATTCATCACAAAACTGTCCTTCAACGAAACAATGACACATCTACAAGTTCATCAAGAATAAAGTGGAAAGACAAATTAAAAAAACAAGACTCACACATCAAAAAAATATATTTTAGTGGTCAACAATAGGTGATTAACGATCGTTCACAAGTCTTCATCACATGAAGTATTGTAAATGACAAAAAGGTACATGCTATAACAATATATGGACATATGTGTAGATTATAGAACAACCACGAATGTTCATTATGGAATTTTGCAATTACCTATTCTATAAAAAAAAAATACAAGGTTCACGCAATATAGAAACAAAAATACGTGTAATGTGCTTGAACAATAGGAAAATATATATATATATATATATATATATATATATATATATATATATATATATATATATATATATATATATATATATATATACAAAGTTGAAATACATAACTTTCTTTTTTTAGACTTTAGTATCATGTATTATATTTGCAACCTAGTCAATTATTACACTCAAAGTTGGTATGTAATTGAGTGAGATAATAGAGAGAGAAAATGTTCTAGTAAGCTGGCTAATTAAGCTCGTATTATTTACTAGGAAGCTCAGCCTACATGATTCTTATGATATTTTTTATTTTTATTTTTTGAAACAATTATGATATTTATTTACTTCTTTTCTCAACCCAATTTTTTATATATTGCGGATTCCCTTTTTTTTTTTATTTTTTTTTATTTTTATATTTGTCTCATTTGCTTTCTAATGCACAATAATTTTAATCAACAATATCTTAAGTCATGAATAATCATATAAGAAGCTATTATTATGGATCTAAATTAAGATGAAAATAACTATATCCCATGTAATTAACTATGTTTTTCTATTATAAATCGATAGAAGAGATATTATTTTCATCACCAAAAAAGATAAAATAAAAAATAGAGATATCGTCATACACTATTATTGTTATTATCATGTCTTATTATCCTTTTTAAACTAGAATATTATTTAAGAAAATTATTTATAAAATAATACAAGTATCAATAAAGTCTACATTAATTATGGGGAATATTTCCAACATCAACTTTAAGCCCCACTATGATCATGCTTTTAGGCATGGTGGCGTCCAAAGAGAAGGAAGGTAAAGATAAGTCGCCAACAAGTTTTAGGAACTTGTAAACCATTCACGGATGTGAAGGTTACACCCCATTCACGATCACGGAGATCGCTAACTCCATAATGGTCCGGAACCATGACTAGATATTCGGGGTTGATGGTACGAATCCAACCTAAAAGAGATTGAACCCGCCCTAAATCGACCTCTACTTAATTCTTATGATATTCATGTGCACTTTTCGATCAACATACATTCATCAAATCAATCCTAAGCATATTTAATCTACGTTGGTTGATTATTAATGCACAAATAGATTTATTATTGGCGATCACTTGAATTAAAATCATATTAACCTAAATCAAATTATTAATTATCTTATTATGCGTGATTTCAAGTACAAATTCCCTTTAAACCTGCAAGAAAGGTTGTGATCAAGCAATAGCAATAAATCATGAATAATCAAGCAACATATAATTATTGACACAACAATCATCATCACAATATCATCAAAACATTATTAGCAAGATCCTAGGCATGATACTAAACAGATTAATAATAAATCCTAGCATGTCACTAAATAATAAAGATCAAAGCTTTAGCCTAAACATGATACTAGAAAGCAACATGATATTAGGAACATTAATTAACACCCTAAACATGATTTCTATATCAAAATCAACTTCCTAACATGATACTAGGAATCAAATTCAACATCCTAACATGATACTATCTAGGAATAATAATCTAAGTATGATTTCTATATCGAAGGGGATAATTAAGTAATCGAATTACTTACTTAGATGCCTCGTACTTCTTTCTATCCAAACAACACACACGTTAGTAATTTCAAGAAATAAAGATTAAATCAATTAAATAAATCAAACAAGAATTGGAATATAGATTTGAGACCAAATCCTCATAACTATCAACCTTTCACGTCGAGGTCAAAGACAACTTCGAGATTGGCTAGGAATATTCAAAGCTCGTGAAGGAGGTATGGTGTTTGATATCAAGAAAGTGTTGGGATGTGTTTAGGCTAGGCTAAGAAAGAAAGAGAGAGGGAAAAAAGCTTTAAGCTTAGAGAAGGGATTAGATGATGATTGTTGGTGAATGAAAAAGGGGTAAAATGACCTCTATTTATAGGTAAAAACGAGGGTCGAAGATCAGAAAAGAGTCAGAATCCGACTCGGAGTAAAACAGGTTACTATCGCGACGCGATAGATTTATCGCCGCACAATAGGCTTATCGCAACGCGATATTTCTAGCGCTCAGCAATGCTTTTAAAAGATAAAATCCGTACGGAATCCGACTTCCAATCAAATTGGGTGAATCGAATTTTTGTACATATTCTAATTTTATCAGAATTAAAAATTATTGAAAAACAAGTGTTTTATCCGAAGTAAAATTCTTAAATCTTTATCTTTTCAAAAATAGGATAAATTAGATCCTTCTAGAGGATTCCAGAAGCTAATAATAAATACTAAGGGATTTAGGATTGAAAACAACCTTCTAGAGGATTCTAGAAACTCATAATAAATCCTAATTGGTCTAGGAATGATGTTAAGGTTAATGAACCCTCCACATGGTCATTGGTTGTAGGTAAGGCTCGGTTTAGGCTCGGTTTAGGCTTGGTTTAGTATTTTAGCCATAACTTCTTCGTTATAACTTGGATTTGGGCTTATAATATATTGTTGAAAAGCTCTTTTCAAACTCCATGCAACTACACAATAATTGGACTAGGATTATGAACCAAAATAATCAGGTTTGAATGTTTTTATAAAGAGGACACAAAATGAATGATTTTAAAGGACACGAAATGAATGATTTTGGGTTTATGGGCACGAAATAAATGATTTTGGATTAAAACTCTTAAGGAAAGGGTTATAGATGGTCAAGGCTTAAGGGAACTCAGGAGACTCTTCAACTCTTCACCTAACTCGACAATCAAAGACGTAAAAGGTACTCATCACTGGGTTTGGATTTTGGGGAGATACAATCAGGTGTATACAATAATCACTAAGATATGAAGTACATGAGATCATAAAGATGTATACTAAAAAAATTACAAATAAAATATAAAAAATATTTACTAAGGTTTTTTTTTTTTTTTTTTCCGGTAAGGAGGACCCTTACTGCAATCAGATTATAAAAAGTTAAGAATTGACCGCTGATGCCGATGCTAGTGCTGCTGCTGAAGCCGAATTATCAACACCAGGCAAAGATCCAAGTCCTTGAAATCCATCAGAAGTGGGTTTCCCAACAGCTAATCCAGAATCATACAGAAACTCCAATCTTTCCTGCCTCCTAAAACATCAAAAAAATAAAAAAAAAATAAAAAAATTCATAGATTAGCAAATTAAGAACCCTAACCCAAACCCTAAATCAGCCACAGAAACACAAACATGAGACAAGCATAAGCTTCTATAGATAGAAACCAATTTGAAGATGTGCAAAGTTTTAAAGCATCAAATGCCTAGAATAACTAATAAAATGGAGGGACTCTGATCTAAGCAGATTGTGAGCTTTGAGCCTTGGCTGCTTCAATTTTAAATGCAAGTAATAGGAAAATCCACAAAGGGAAAAAGAAATAGAGTTACTTGAAGGTATATGCTCGTTTCATATTGGACTTTTAAAGCATACTCATTAAATACAGAGGCCAAAGATAAACATCAATAATATTTTTTTTATACAAACCTAACAAGGAAAATGCAAGGTGATAACATCCAGAAATCTGTTACTTACAAAGATCAATGTATAGATGTATGCTCCTGTTGCAATAGGAAGTCCCAATGTAGACATGAATATGAGTAACAAAACAAGAGCTTCCCACTACAAAAACAATAAACAGGCATACAACATTAAAAATTAGTGTTCGTCCATAGCATAAATGAAGCGAAATACTTTGCATTGTTATAATTCATAAGCTCGTATTATTATAATTCATAAGCTCAATATATACAGGATTTAATCAGATTACTCACCTGATTAATAGAAAACTTACGTCTCATTACCATCCTTAGCAGAATAACAATTACCAAAACTTGTAAATGTGAAGACAAAGATAAGATAGGTGTCCTTGTGAATGTAATAAAAGCAAATATAGTGACATGTAAAAGCTACCTTCATTGTCAAATTAATTACCATAAAACTTCTCATCTAACTTAATCACAACTAATAATTGTACAATGCAAACAGAGAATTCCTTGAAATTTTCCCTTCTTCAAAAACTACAAAATAAAATCGGAAACAGGCCAAATACTTGCAGCACTAGAAATTTCAACCAAAATTTAGCATCAAAACCCTGGCCCAATCCATTTAACTACCTCCAATCACAGGGGGAAAAAAAAAGAAAAAAAAGGGTTCATTCAATCCGTCTCTATTAGAATTAGCATTATTCAAGCTATGCCAAAATTCATATCGTA